ATTTTACTTTTTACCCCAGAATCTGCAAAATATACAAAATAAGATGTTTGACAGGTCAAGCCTCAAAGCCAAACATAATAAAAAAAGAACAAAAATTTAATTCACTGTTAAGAAAAAAAAAATTAAACCCTTCCCCTACGTTTTTCAGCAGCAAAATTTTTATTAATTTTAGCAGCAGCAGTAGGTATGAGAGCATCTGTGCAGAAGAATCTTCCTATCTCTGGACTTAAATTGACTTCATTAAAGACCAGAGGCCCAATAATGTAATTTTATCATATTTTTTCTGTAGCGCTCACAAAGTCGCTCTTCTTGCCCATGAGAAGAAACCACCTTTGCTCAAATACCTTCATACAACATTATCCTGATCCTGCACTGCATAAAGTTTTTGTTGTTCTGCATATTAAGTCAACCACTAGTTACTAGTTTTCTGTGAGCATTACAGGGGATTTAGAGGTGAGGGTGGTAATCCTGTGTTCAAGTTGAGCAGGTTTCTGTGGAAAGTAGGTTGCAGGGAAGGTGGCTGCAGAAGTCAAGACTGGTGAAGCTAATGGAGGGAGTGAAAACGTCTGTCTGACGAGTAGATGAAAAAGGAAAGGATCTGGCAACGTGCTAGCAGACAAAGACAAGAAAGCTTGAATGTGGCACAGCTGAAGAGGGAAGAACTAGTAAGAGAAGGGGGTTGACAAGTTTTTAGTATTGACAGGAAACATGGTCTGCACAGCTGTATCTGTGACTAACTTAAAACTGGCAGGACATTCTTTAGATGATTACATCTATCAAACTGCTCTTTAAAGAAAGAATAAATATTTTACCAAAATGGAGGGGGGAGAGGGGAAAGGCTTAGAGCTGCTTTAATAAACTATTAGAAAACTCTTTTGAAGCCAGTGCCTTAGAAGGCAGTGACTTCTGATGCCTAGAAACTCAGTTCCAGGAGGGGAGTCACTGATAATGGAGGCAAATAGTGGGCAGGAGGCTGCAGCTTGTACTTTAAATACCTTGGAAGATAACATCTAGCTAGACTATGAGCTTCTAATTCGCATCTAATTAATAGGGCATAGGGGAAAAAGGCATCTCCCAGTCATCTGATGGACACAGAAGACGCATCGCATGCATTGCTCTTTGGGCTGCTCGGTTTTATGCAGCATGTTTTTGTAGCACTGGCTGTGCTGCAGCCATCACTCTTGCTGCAGTCGGCCTAGCTAGCTGAGACCAAGTTTAAACACATTAATATGAGTACTCCTGACAAATGTGGTAACCTGGAAGCCAGTGTGTGACGTTTATTCTGCCGAGATCAACAGTGCTGCACAGCACTGCTGGACGTGCCTTAGTTTGCTATTTATTTCAAAGTGGTTGGGATACTCTTGGTGGGAAGTCTAGAGTTAGAAGCAATTGTGAAGTCTCAGTTGGCACAGATTAGTCCCAGGATTTAGGACTAGCAAAGTGACTTAAGCACTAAATCCCTGCCTTTCCCCTCTAGCCTTGTTCCAAGCTTAGCTGATTACAGGACCAAACTTTGAGATTTTCAGCTAATGAAGATGATACACAAGGAAGTGGCTTGTATAGCTTGATTTATATTGATGAAATGAACTGTGATTTATTTACAAATAATTACATATCATCATTCTAGTTACTAATATTGCCATCATAAACTAAAAGTTTTTCAACCCTAGAGGATGAGGTTATTAGTGGCAACAGCACAACCCACAAGTTGCCATGCCAAAAGGAATACTTAAGTCCAGGAAAGTAGTGCTAATTCTTACTGTTCCTGTGCAATTGATGTAGCTTTCTAATTGGACACTTGCATGTGTGGAGCATTTCAATAACAGGCAATACATTAAAAAATAGAATCTGAAATCTTGGTTTTTCTAAAGACTTGCACAGTTACTTATGGAGGGCATTGTCCAAGTCTTGAAGTAGTAAGCCAGAGAGGCAAGGAGATGTAAGGTACTTTAGAAGGAATAAGGTAACTGCCTTCTGTAAAACAGTCTGAAAAAGGTTATTGAAAACACGTGTCGAAAGCCACCTTCCTTCATATTCAGGCAGGTGCAAGGAAGGTTTGTCAGGCTGGTGAGGGCAGGGGCTGGTGACGGGGCCCTCTTGGTGGGGGACCAGCTTTCCAGCTGTCCCAGGCTGTGTGGAGAGCTGGCAGGAGCCGCCCTGCTTACAGGCACCTCCTCCACGTGTTGTGAGTGGTGGCTTTTCTCCCACGGGCCCTGCAAAGTTGGACATCCAGTGGGTTTGGAACCTGCTAAAAATACGCCAAGCACTTCGAGTGAAATTTTTCACGTGTGGATTCGCACGAAAACAGCGGGGCCTCCCCTTCCAAACCCACCCGCCGGGATGGGCGGTTGCCGCGGCAACGGGAGCGGGGCTGCGGCGGGCGCGGGTCCGGCCGGTGCGTGTGCGGGGACCGGGCGGGGGCATCGCCGGGGGGTGCGGGTGTCCGGTCCTGCCCTGTGCCCTGCCCTGCCCTGCCCACACACTGCCGGCGTCTGAACGT